ATGGTGACAGACATGGTGACATGGTGACAGAAATAGCGGAAAATGCCTGCTGCACATATTTTAGATCAGACATCTGTGAAACCAGGCTTTAAAATATTCTGATCAATGCTAGGTACATTTTTCTTACTGCTTACATCTGCTCCCCACCTCCTTCATCCCTGGTTGCTTTCTCCAACTTTTGCCCTTTTCCTTCTGTCTTCTGAAGGAAGTAGAATTAAGAGGGATGATTTGGAGAATCTCTCCAAAGGCTGGTAGCCTCAGCTGTGTTAAAGGAAACCTGGCCTGTTTAACTTGCTGGGTCTATAAAACATCCTCACTGATGTTAACTAATCTTAGTTCTGTTAACTATCTCCTCCCTGGCTCAATGGTTGAGGCTCTTTTCTGTATTTTGTCTTGGAATTTACATTCCTTTTCTCCCCTAGGGGGCATGTGCTGTTTTAACTGGTACCGGCTAAAACTAATAGGCAGCAAGCCACATATCATAAAAATCTTAAGGGATTTTTCTCCTGCAGTTTTTATGTGGTGTCCATTGAGTTTTCAGGAAGCATCTCATCACTTTTCCTGTCTTCCCCAGGAGAAAAATCTAGGGTCTTAGAATAGACTATATCATCTGATCAGCACTTACATGCTAACATTGGATATAATTATGAATAGGGTCTGTATATAAGAGGCCCTATGCCCTTGCTCAGAAAAACTCAAAACTGATGTCAATATTTTCTCAGAGAAAAAATAACCTAGAAACTCATATGTGAACAAGATTGTCTTCTTTTAACTTGTGCCTTAAAACAAAAAATTAGACTAAGACTAAAAAGGGAATGCTATTTGAGATGAGCTATTGGTCATAATTTCCATCTAACGAAGTGTGAGCATGTGTATGTCTGATTGATATCTGTCACTATAGAGTGATGATGGAGAAGCCCATATTTTAATTAAGAGATGCATATGGATGGTTTGATTTTCTTTTGAGTTACCAAGAATGATAGCAACAATGATAACTACCATTAATAGACTACTAATTGTCACACTTTTATCCAATATCTTATCTAATCAGCAAAACGACTTGTAAAATAGAAACTATTATTTTTATTTTACAAAAGAGAACTGTGTATTAAAGCTGATGCTAAGGCTCTTGAGTGGTTTGACAAATGTCACATGATTAGTAAGAGGAAAAGGAGGTATTCAAATAGTCTAATTCCAAACTCTAACTTTTACCACTGCACAATACTACCTCCTGCTAGTTCAGCAAGATAGTACTTCTACAGCTTACTTTTTCCAAATTGTTGACAATATAATGCAATATAATATAATATGTAGCAAATCAATAAGAACTCCTGGATATGATTGCTCAATAAAGTCACTTTTTTATTAAATGGATTTTGTTAAGGAGCCAAAACCCTGGAACCCACCTAGACCCACTAGAGGCAGGACTTTGGAATCTTGACTAAAATACTTCCTGCCTAGCAAGACTTTGCAGGTGCATGGTTGGGAATCGTGTCTTAGAATCTAGGCATTTGGCCAGGGACTATGTCTGTCACAAAAGGACTGGCTTAGGAGTAACTCAATAAACTGCTATTGAACTGAATTTTTGAACCTTCAGTCTCTAAAGTGATATTCCCCACATTAAAGCACTGATGAGAACCATTTCCCTCTGATATTTTGCAAGGTGAAATCCACTCAGTGGCAGAATATAGCCCAGCCTCTAGGGTTTGGGGGAGATGCTCAGGCTGCAGCAGTGCAGTCTCTCAGTGGTTTCGCATCAAACAGAAAGACTACACTCAAGGCAGACATTTTCCTTCCTAGGAGAGTATCTGCCCCTATCATTAAAGTTTATAGGTATTTGTATATGTCATTACTGTTACCAGTTTTTCCTGGGTCCTGGGGAGAGTCCAGCTGAATGCCTGTAAAATACAGCAAGCTCCTAAGAGAAAGATGCTCTCTAAAGATATAGTATTACTATAAATTTCAACTACTTCCCCAAGCTTGAAAATGCTGTCCTGGAGAGAACGATCTCTTAACAATCATTGGCTCATTTCCCAAGCTCTTAGGAAACCAGCCTAACTCCCAGGCATGGTAAATGTGAAGGAATGGGATCACTGGGGCACAGGGCAGAGAAAATACTAGCCAAAGGGACACTGATCTATTTAGCAAATTTGTATCAGTTATAAATACAGCCTTATAATGACTTGGTGTAATGATAACAAAATCATGGACTTGCAAAACTCCCTCACTTATTCATAAGTGGAAATCCATCTTCTTAAAAGAGTGTATTTTCTGGATTTCTTATTCCTGCTCACAATTTAGCATGTGGGAGTATCAGGGAGACTGATTCTCTTTAACCCTGGAGAAGTGTGTCGTCTCAATCTCCATCAGATTTTCACAGTGGCTATTTGAACAAGTATAGTTCCCTTGGAGTTAATCTTTTAAACTCAAGGCAAAATCCCTTGAGCCCATCTTGTATATAAGAGGTTAAACATCTCTGAACTGTTCATAATCCCGGAGAAGTGCCATCTTTTGGCCTGCAGATAAATACAACCCTTCACCAGTTTCTGGGTATCTTAAACCCACCTGGGTTGTGATAACAAAGTAAAAACCACCATTCTAGAATGAAATGGATACATTTATAGACCAACAAAGGGAGTGTAAATCATAGAATCATATTTAAGAGCAATGATGCAATGTGATCAAAAGACTTGGAAATATTACTAACATACATTTACATTATACTTATATACATATTTATGTAAATATTATAAATAAATGGAATATAATGTTTGAAACGTACAAACATAATACAAATGTACCTAATATATTTACATTATTCTACTGGCAACCTTGTCCTGTTCCATGAATTCTGTGTTGACCACCATGAGACCTCTCTCCCCTCTCTCTATTTCAGTAGAGACCTGCCTTCTCAGGTCCTCTTGGATGACTACCAGCCATCTCAAACTAAACTCTTGACCCTCCCTGCCAAACTTGCTTATCTCACAATCTTCCTCATCTCAAATGGGAACTCTTTTCAATCATTTACTCAAAGCAAAAAGCCTAGGATTCTTGTTGATGCCTCTTTTTTTTCTCTTTTTTTAAGGTAAGGTCTCACTCTGCCCCCTGGGCTTAAGGTCAGTGGTGCAATCACAGCTCACTGCAACCTCAACCTTCCAGGCTCACATGATCCTCCCACTTCAGCCTCCAGAGATTATGGCTGTGCACCATCGCATTTGTCTAATTTTCTTTGTATTTTTTGCAAAGACAGGTTATTGCCATGTTTCCCAGGCTGGTCACCAACTCCAGAGATCAAACGATCTGCCCACCTCCGCCTCCCAAAGTGCTGGGATTACAGGCATGAGCCACTGCGCCTGGCCAACTTCTCTTTTTTCTACAGCAACCGAGACATTTCATTGTCTCTATACTTAAAATAGATCAAGAATCCAGACACACTTTATACTTCTATCACCCCCACTCTTCAAAACAACCCCACTTTAAATATCAGAAGGAAGATTTGTCTTGAGTTACCAGCAAATTATGAAGTCACCAGAAAATTGATATCTTTGATCGCCTTGTGAATAGAGGAGATTTGTTAAAGAGGGAGTGAGGAGAGAGAAAAGAATAAAAGTCAAGAAAAAGCTGTGAGGAACTTTCACATTAGATTTCTGATACGGAAGGTGGAAATTTAAAAGAGTTAGAAGGACAGCCCTGGCCCTTGCTTTGTTAGAGGTGAGACTATGGTAGATCAGCACTGGAGGCAAAGCTGGTTATGCTCTAGGGGAAACAGCCATCTAATCCTCCTAAAGGCTGTTCTAGAAATGTTCTAATTGTCATACAAACAGTTACTTGAGCCTAGGACCACTGCAAGGGAGAAATTGAGCCTCACAGAAAGGTATTCAGCTCCATCTTTGACTCTAGATTCAGTAGGGCCAGGTCATGTGTTTTTCATGAAACAAATGGAAGAGAAGCAGTCAGATGGTTCCAGTTTCAGAAGGATGTGGGGAAACTACAATCCAGGGTCATTTAGGCTTCTCAGTTGCATCCCAGGACAACAGCACTCCCAATGGCCATCACACGACACAAGTTCCTGTTGGATAGGCCAGGCTGCATCCAGGAGGCTGGGATGGAATGAAAAATGATGGAGTTCCCGAGATAAAATCATTATGAGTGATGTCTCATGGGGAGACTGGGGAGACTCAGAACAGCCATCCCCACCAGCCCCAGTCCTGCAACACCCTGAATTCTCTAGGCACATACACTAGGAAGAAGAATCTCCAGAGGAAACAGCCCAAAGCTACTGATGGATGAAGGGAAGAAGAGAGAGACAGGAGCCTGCAAGCAGCTGAGTAGTACTGGTCTTAGGAGCAGGAAGACAAAACAATAGATTACCAGATTCCAGAGCAGAGAGAACAGGGAACTGTAGAATAAAACCCTGTTTCTACCCACGCTTTTTCCACAGCAGAGATTCCTAGACGGAATTATTTAGAAGTAAAATCCAAGGGACAACTGGATTTCCTCTCATCAAAGGAGTAAAAGATTCTGACGTCCATTTGGACTTAAAATGTTCTGATAAATTTAAGTCTTCGGATATATCTATCACCTCTCTTTTCTAAATTGTCTTTCATAAGCATGAACCACTTTTAATTTTTTTAAATCAATACAAAAGCAATTAAAAGGAAATGACTGTGGGTTTTGTGCTCATGTTTTTCTCTGTTTCTAAAAGATTTACTCAAAGTCATATTACAAACTTCATGTGGGGTAGTTGGCTAGTATCTCATTTCATTGATTGAAAAATGGAGTACTGCAGAGATTAATAAACCTTTTAAAGGTTGAAATTCTAAACCTGTGTATTATTTTTCCCTAAGTAAAAATTCCTGATCCTAACATGTTCAAGCAGTTGTCAAGTCCTAATTCTGCTTTGTCCCAGATTCTGGTTGGGAAGGGCTGAACCAGCTGATTTGAGACTAATTATTCAGATATTAAAAATGGCATCTGATTTGACTTTTGTTGAGACGCACCTGACTGCGATTACTTTCCTTTCTTCTGCCTTAAGGCTTCTCTGCACCTCATGTTCAACTGGCTCTTTCTTTAGAAGATACATCAGATGGAATCTTTCTTTTCCTAGATGCCTTGAGTGGGAGCATTCTTTTTTGTCAATAAATATGTCAGGGATAACTCTTCTGGGTGACAGTCTATGAGAAATAAAATTGTATAACAAAATCACAGATTCTAGTGTTATTGGGGGTTTCTTTACATAAAAAACATCTATCTATTTTGCTTAAATTTCATGTTTCACATGAAACTAATGTTAGTAAATATTGTTAAAATACCAATTTTTTTTTTTTAGTTGACATCTACTTTCCTTCCAAGTACAATGTAGGCACAGGAAAAGCAGAAAAAAGGAAAGAAAAATTGCAAACATCAAATACTAAACTGTCAGTTACTAGAGTTTTATGATAATTCCAGAGAACAAAATATATATTTATGTGTTTCTTTTTCCCATACCCTTTCTTTTTTCAAAGTATGCCCACCAAGTGCCAGTAATTACTCTTTTAGTCCGAATCAGGGAAACAAAATTATGCTATTAAGAGCCAAAAGGCAAGAAATGTTTTTAGAAAACATTAAATGAATGCAGTTGCCTATTGAGTTATGGTTTTGTCAGACAAATGAGTCTTTTGACCAATTCTCAAGTGAAACAAGAATTATTGCTGAAGCTTCTGGCTTGGGAAAAGCATACCCATTATCTCATCTACTATAAATCCATATTGAGCACATGTACAAACAGCCTTCATTTAATTAATCTGAGGGAGAGGCCAAGGAAGGAAGGGCCAATAGCTAACATGAAAGAGCAGGTAGGTAGTAGCTCAACAGGGAAGGAAAAGAACAAATGCAGTAAAGTCAGCTCTGTTACTTCATAGTAAGACCTGCCAGAGGCCGGGATAGCACAGTCTGCCAAAAACAGAAGAATCAAAGTTTAATAAGCGTTGAAAGTTAAAGCAAGACTTGGCAGTCATTTAATTTAATTATCTTCCATTTCTGCAGAAAGGAATCGCATCTCTGGAGAAGTAATGTGGCTTGCTCAAAATTAGACAACTGGTAAGTGAAAGAGTTTCTGTTTCTACTGAAAATTCTTTTGCTCTTCCCTCAACTGACTCTTTTTGAGGAGGATGCCGATGCTAATGAAATTCACCTGGAGTCTAGTCTGTTTGGCTTTGATGTGAGAATTAATGCAGACATTTGGGAACAATAGAAAGACTTTGTTGACAGGGACTAAAACTTTGGTTTGAGCAGAAATAGTTTGGAGATATCAAATACCCTATAACCAGCTCAAGCTAATGTGGGTAAGGAGGGTGAGGAAGACAGGAGTTAGATACTCATACAGAAACAAAGCACAGGGTTGAATATCAGGAAGTGATAGTTGTTTGTCAGGAAAGTCTAAAAGAAGGTGTAGGGAAGATAGCTTTGCATGTCAGACACATCTATGTAAGAGCTGAAAGTTAAGGGGGAAAGGGCGGGTTTGGGCGGGTTTCATTGACAGGGTTCACTGATCCCTGTCACAAGGGCAGTTGGGGACTTCCCAAGCATTCTTACCTGAGAAGTTCTCCACTTCCCCTGGGTCTTAAAAGTACCCTGTGTTCTGAATAGGGCTTTCCACTGCAGTCTAAAATTATTGATTCACTACCAGAAGGCAGCATTCAACATATTCAAACTATCAAGAAAAAATGTTTAATTTACAAAACTTTTTGGGTATGTGAAATCTCCTTTTTCTTATCTTCAATCAGCCTATTTCTGTATATAACTTTCATTATGTTCTAAGTTTATTAAGCCAAAGTCCTTTTTAAAAATTTTACAGCAGTTAATAACAAGTTCCTGTCACATAGTTGATGACCTTTAATCAGCTGGGTCAGCAGACACGTTGAATCCAACATTTTTCATTCATATAGGAACCATTCTAAACCAGTAATCGTTTCAGAAATGTCAGATGGGCAGCAACTAGGATAAAGATCCCTGATGCCAACATAATCCCTGTGTCTTGTCCACACCTTAACCCTCAAGATCAAAGTTCAATTATATCAGCTAAAGCTTATCAATTCAGTGAGAAGCATGAGGCTTCACGTGTTCACAGAAATGGTACCTAGTTCAAATCAGCTAATGTGCCTTTTTTTTAACCTCATGTGTTTTTCAAGCTTACAGAACAGAGAATTCTGCTTGAATAGTAAGCTTAAATATTTGGTGGCACTACCTGTGATTCATTGTGTTCTTGAACTGTAACTCATTACCAGTGGTGTTTTATCCAAGTTATAAGAAAAGACTAGGCAATTAATTTTGATGTAATTGAGAAAGTCTTTTACATACTCTTGCGTGCTGTATAGTGCCAGTTCAGTACAAATCCATTATCCCTTAACCACAAATGCCAAAAACAAAGTCTATACATTAAAAATGTCTTGTTTTATCTTTTACAATTAGCACCATATTTATTTAGTGGGAAAATCTGATGAACTAATATGAGACTATTTGGAATCAATTTATCTCCCGTAGTGTAAATACTGATGATTTTTATTATAGAAATTTTAATGTATTTCACAGGGACAAGTTGCCCTAAACCCAGCTGAAGGCTCTTTCATAAAGTAAAATGTGTGTGTGTGTGTGTGTGTGTGTGTGTGTGTGTGCGCATACATAGACTGTATTACCTTGGAAAATATGAAGAGAAAATGGATTTTAAAACAGCCAGCCAAATCAATTTTAAATAAGGATGAACCCCAAAAAAGTAAAATTTGGATATTTTCTAAGGCTACAGAAAGTAATTTTCAAAATTGTCTCTACTTAAATAAGCAATTCTTTTTTTTTTTTGGAGACAGAGTCTCACTCTGTTGCCAGGCGCCAGGCTGGAGTGCAGTGGCACAATCTCGGCTCACTGCAACCTCCGCCTCCCGGGTTCAAGCAATTCTCCTGCCTCAGCCTTCCGAGTAGCTGGGACTACAGGCATGCACCATCATGCCCAGCTAATTTTTGTATTTTTTAGTAGAGACGGGGTTTCTCCATGTTGGCCAGGATGGTCTCGATCTCTTGACCTTGTGATCCGCCCGCCTCAGCCTCCCAAAGTGTTGGGATTACAGGCTTGAGCCACCGCGCCCAGCCAAGTAAGCAATTCTTATTGTTGTTGCTCATTCATCCAGACTCTTTCCCCTGGAAGATTTTGTTTGGGTTTTTATTTCATGCTATTTTTATTTTTACTTTGGTCTCATTTTGCGTGCTCATAAAAAATCAACACTAGAATCTATCACACAACAAATCCACAGCGGTCAGTGGCCACACAGCTTTCCCAGTGCTATTAGGACAATGCCTCATGGTGATTTACTTGGCTACTTCTTGTGATTAGGGGCATATTTATTTAAAGAACATTTAATATGTGGTCTTATTGTGGAAACTTTCAGCAAAGGACCTGTGAAAGTAAATGTTGTTTATTTGACCTATACCCAATGCACACCACCACAACTTGTTTCTCATTCATTCCACTTCAGTCACAAACTGCTCATGAATCTTATCCACTCATAATAACCACTTTGCAAAGAAAAAAGAAAATATAATATCTTATCTTCCTAGGTGTGGTCTAAAATAAATTGCTTTCACTCTCAACACATTGCTTTACCTTTTACGTTTTGGTTGGAACTAGAACTATACTTAAAATTAATGTATTAGCTAAAGACTAATTGACTTTTACAAGGATAGTGGTTGAAATGGGTACCAAGTTATATATGTTATATATGTTAGGTTTCTAGACAAAGTAGATATGATCCCTTATCAACTGTGATATTGATCTTCAAAATGGAGACAGAGAGAGAGAATAAACACAACTGTAATATCAAAAGGTAGTGTTGTGGCAAGAAAACCTTTTCAAAATATTCATTATGTACATGATTGTCTGTTCATGAAGTTCATCTTAGGCATATAACTTCCTGTTAGAATGAGAAAGACAGTGAGAGGGAGACTTTTAGAGGCTGGGAATATTCAACTCAAGTTTTGTTCGGTAAGAGAAACTTAGAACATAAAATGCAAATGAACTAGTTTTGTCTTCATTGAAATTGAAAAGAAAGAAGAATTTGGACTCTATATTTACAGGCTATGGACTGGAAACCAACTGAAGTTAATTTACAAATTGACAGACAGCAAAACAAGTGAGAAGTATGCAACCTACATATATTAATCTGGGTGTATTTAAAATGCATTTCATTTCAAAAACATCTCTTTAGAAGTCCGCTAGTAGTGTATATTTGTGTATACAGTCATGAGCTTTCAATAAGTGGCTAGTTTTTATGAATTCAATGGAAACCTCAGTGGGTGGAAAGCAGAAACCATGAAGCCACAGGGATGTTTCAACTCCCTCAAATTAGTGCTACTTCAGAAAAGCAACTACCAACCTTTAAACAGCTTAAGCAAAATGTCAAGTAAATTAAGTACCTACCAGATGCTAAGCCTGTGTTATGAAAATGTTAACAAATAGTTAGGTATCATTACAGTGAAGAAAAGAAAACACATTGCAATTGATGGCAGCTGGGAAAATTACTGCCCGTGTATATAAACCAAAACTAAAAAATGATTTGGCATTATAGGAGAGAATCTTACGCATCTTTCCCCCATCCCACCACCCTTTGGAGACAGGTTGGAGGGCAGTAGCATGATCGTGCCTCACTGCAGCCTCGAACTTCTAGGCTTAAGTGATCCTCCTGCCTCAGCCTTCCTTGTAGCTAGGACTACAGTTGTGTGCTACCATGCCAAGCTATTCCTTAAAATACATATATCCATATGTGTATATTTTGTAGAGACAGGATCTGGCTATGTTGCCCAGGATGGGCATCTTCCTTTCATAGTCACAAAAATTTTAGTAGTACCTCTATTAATCCTGGGTACAATTGTGTTCTTTGAACCTAATGTGAGGAATTGCATGTTTACATAAGAAGTAAACTAGCCAGTGAGAGTAGTGTACAAATTATCTGCCTAGATTTGTAGGTGACAAGCCCATGTATCTATTCATTCTTCATGTAATTTTCCTTTGAGATATATATGTAAATAAAATTACATATATATTTTGTATATATGTAATTTTGCATAATATAATTTTATTTACATATATACCACTGCTTAAAAGTTCTTATGTATATTTCCTGGAATTTCTATGTAAATTATAATATAT